TCTTCCTCCTGAAGCCGAACAACTCTCCCCTTCCGGAGGCATGTGAGTCATGCCTGCAGGAACAACTTCTCGTTGATTGCACCTGCTGCCTCCTGACACACTTCTTGACGTGGAATGCTGAGGGAGAATCAGAATGGGCACAAAATGGTACAAGGCTTCTGTAGATCCTCCGCATCATTGCTACCCCTAGCGCCGGAGTCGGGTTCAGCTTCTTCCTCCTCCTCCTCCTCCTGCGCTTGAATATGAAGCGATGTCACTAGAAATAAAACCAACAGTCGCCGCTTGGTGTATGAATATGCCAACCTGCTTGTGCGGAAAAGTGCTTCGAGATCTGAGATCTGCAACTCTGTAGAGGCTATTCACAGTAGAGTCCTCATCATCCTGCAAGTCTTTTGCCTTGCACGAGTTACAGTAAGGCCGTTCAAAAAAGGGCGATTGTTTTTTGCTAAAAGGAAAACTTGAGGCAATCGCCATCCCTTGAGTCTTGCCGCCGTTGTCGTCCTCATCCTGCGGATCCTTCGGCGGAGGCAATGGATAAACTGGGCAATCAGTCTGCCAATTTGGTCCAAGCCTTTACATTCGGTTGCTAAGTGTGCAACGAACGTTCAGTTGCAAACTGTGCAAAGATGCTGTGCAAAAGTAGAAAAGCGAAGACGGAACCAATCACAGGACTGCAAGGCATGATCATTCTTAGAAGGAAAAAAGCGGCAAAGCCGCTGCAGGAGACAGGGGCGCAAAGCAAAGACTCAACGAAGGAACGCAATCAAGGGCCGAACACTACATTGCGGGGAATACAAAAACCAAAGGCTGAGAAAGCGAATGAGAAAAGTGTCATGGCAAAGAACGCTGATTCGTCATAAGAAGAAGGCGGGGATGCGAGACGCCTGAAGAACTAGACGACAGTGACAACAAACACGTTCGTTCGTAGGAGCCAAGCAGGCAAGCGACAGGACAAGCAAGCCTCAATAAGGCAGGGAGTATCAGGAGCCACGCAAGCAAAGAATCAGGATAAGGATCATATTAAGCCAAGCATGGTCAAGCAATTGAAGCACCCAAAGCCCAGAAGGAAAGGTGGACACAAAATGAAGGCAAGGTACAAAATCAAATCGATTCGGGGCTGGGAGAAAGAAGGGCAACCTGCCAGGATCATTGCTTGCTGCATGGAACATGTTCAATAGGATAGAACCATGACTCGCCGCACGCTAAGCAATGCTATAATCGCTTGAACGTCCTCCTCCCTCTCATCGTACTCATCCGCAGACACGGCACCCTCATCATCTTGGAAGAGGGATGCATCGTAGGTGAACAAGTCTCGTCCGCTCATTCCGACGAGGCCCTGCAAATCAGCATTTCATGGCACGGATCGCTCCAAGGCGAGCTCAGACAGCGCCTTGTTGCCACCCTTTTTCATGCTTTCCTGGCGATCCTCCTCCACCTTCGCAAGCCTCTCAGCCTTGGATCGGGAAGAGGAGAAGCGAGTCGCGAGTCGCGGCGGCGCTGGCAAGCGACCAAACCAAACCAAGTGCCGACACGCGGCCTCTCGTTTTTCCTTCCAGGCCTGTGAGCATTCGGCATGCTCACGTGAACAAGTGGGCAAGTCCCCTCTGCAAAGGGCTTTCACAGAAGTAACGCTTTCCCTCTGCCCGTTTAGAAGAAAGACATGATTCATCGAGGTGTCAAGACTTGCAGTGGTTCATGGGATGTTTTTAGCGCCTTCCTCCGGTGCGTCCCATTGCTTCAACCGTTCCCAGAATCTGAGAATACCCCGGAGTCAGACTCAAAACCAAACACTCAAGCGGTCTCAAATCCATGGCAAAGAATCAAACGAACGTACCTACCTCTTTATGCTTGGCACTCCAAACTGCCCCCCCCCCCCACCCACCTTCCCCCCGGGAATTTCGCTTGCCTTAAAGGTCTCCGGTGTGACGGGAGTACCTCCAGGGGGCAGCGCAGCTCTGCGCTCCTCGATGATCTCCTGCCGAATAAAAAGTTGGATCAATGTGCAGCATGGGGGAACCCCAACGAAGCATTTTTGGTGTCCCAGTGGATGTTGGGCGGTGTCCCTATCCTTTCTCAAGAAAACAAAGAACAAAGGGCAATACCTGGACTTCCGAAGCAGCCAAAGAATATCAAGCCCTGTCCTCCAGTGGCCGCTCGTCTGGCGCCACCTCTGCTTCAACATCCTGCCAATTGTGTCATTGATGCCAAAGCCCCAGCAGAAGCAGCAGCCTCCAAACATCGTATAGTGGGGTTGGTGCTCTCTTCATCGTCCACCCAGAAGACCTTGTCATTCGCCTGCCAGATACCGAGCCGGCGATGCCTTTGGCATGCAAAAACCCACTGGCCTTGATGAACAAAAGGAGCTGGATAGTCTTGAACGTATCCTGGTGCTTGGTCTTCAGCGCCTCAGGACATGGCATAAATTAACTCTGGCTAAAGTTCGGAGACCCGCGCCTGAATGATGGGATGCGCGCCCAGCTCCGACATGCGCACGCCCTTTGCATCCGACATTCATGCGAGCCCTCAATTTGTATACTTGACAAAGCTGTCCGGATGCCTTCGGGTTGGTGAGGCGAATGCTGTTGGCCACACCTTCAATGATCTCCTGGCACGATCCAAAGATAGCATGCACCAAAAGTCATAGCCACCAAGGTGTTCAAACGGTGCGTGCTGGTTTTTGGACCGCAGTCTCCTTCTTGATCTCCTCTTTCACTTTTTTCCCCGCCGCAATGGCCTGATGCATTTCTTGCAGGCTTGCTGGCTACAGAGCAGCGCACCATGCGCCTCCTCCTCCGCCTGTTTCGCCTTCTTCTTCGCCACTGGATCAAACCTGGCGCCAGCACACCCCAACGAAAGAATAAACGGGATTGATAGCGTCCAGCAAAAAGCGATGCCAAGCTGTCAGGCAGGCGCTCTTCCTTTCTTGTCCGTGGCAAGGTTGAACAACGAGTTCCTGCGACCCGCAAAACTGCCGAAACCACCATGTCCAGGTATCCTGTCAGCCAACATCTTTGTGTAATGATCGATCCATGCTCACAGATTTCTTTGCGAGGTGCCACAAGTCCTGCAGTTGGCATTGGAAAGTGTTTGCATGTCAACCTTCTACGTTACAGCGCTCGTTCACCACGCATTACCGGGCGGCTTACCCTCTGACAGCCACCAATCCTGCAGTTGCAAGCAAAACCTTGCAGTGTGAAGATGTCCAAAGGGTGGCCAGGTTTCCTGGCTGACCTTCACTTGCGGTTTTTTGTCGTTCACATCAAGCCGAGCGGCATCAGGGCTGCTTTCTGAAGCTCTTTCTGCTTTGCGTCCTGCAAGGCGTAAGCTAGCTGTGAATTCCAACACTTGGAATCCCTCACGAATGGTTAGTTAACAAAAGCCCCCTTGAAAATGATGTCGACCATTTCCTGATCAGAAATCACATGCATCTCTGCAAGGACAAGCATGTTGCAAGGCAAGCTGTTCAAAAAAATCCCCCAGCGTGCCCTCCTTCTGCTCTCTGTCGGCCGCTTCTTTCCCTCCCTTGGGTGCACCTGTCAGAACACGAATAGCTCATGCAGACGTAAAGCCTGAGATATGCCTGAGACATGCCTGAGTTAATAAATGAATAAATGGGCAACAGTAAAGCTAGCAAACAGCTGACACTCCAAAGCAGCCAGTAGCCTCTGCAATAGCTTTCTACATATGTCATTCAACCAGCTGTGCCGCATGATGCCAAGCATGTATTTTTCGAAGCGCTGGTTTTCAATAGGCAAGTAATCCTGCAGTGCAAGCCGCCTGACGCATTGTTTGCGATGGACTTGATGTACCTCAGCATGGCCCCGCTTTCCCGCTTTCAAGTGATTCTGGGAGCATCAGACTGGGAATTGTTTGACCTTGGGGCCTGTAGCACACGACGCAGAGCGACAATCACAACAATACGAAGGTCTGCCAATGAATGTTTGCCGTTTGCAAGCCAACATAGACACCGAGTGAGGGCGAAAACTGAGAGACGCCTACTTTGCCAAGATTGGTATTTCCAGTGCAGCAAGTACTGCAGGAGCTTCTTGGCGGACTTTGCTTTTGTGGGTCGCGAATGTATTGTGAACCAACTGGGTAGCCAATTCTACCAGAAACCACTGCAGCATGCTGCAGCATCCAAAGCGATCCGCAATGACCGATAGATAGCTGCGACCGATGGCTAGTGCTGCAAGCCATGTGATACTAGCAAATGCCATGGCGTTCCATGCTCACAATCATGTGCTTCCGGCCAGGCCACTTCTGTACGACTTTGCTTTTGTTCTTGTTTTTTAGACCAAATGTCTTGTCGATCGCAATCTTCTCCTGGGAGAAGCAGAGTTCATGTCTCAGCACGTCAAATTCTGACCACGTCAAGCCAAGAATCTCTTTCTTTTTGCTTGGCTTTGTCTGCCTGGATGCATTTCCAGCATTGCTGCGCATCACCAAATTTGACTTGCCGTGCCTGCTTGGGCGGCATCTTCGCTGGATGAGCGTGAATGTGCAATTGACGGGCTTAACGTGGGCACCTTGTGGTACTCACGCTGTGTTTGGCTACAATGAACAAGGCGGAGTCTGTCTTTTGCTGTTACCCACATATCAGAAATGTAAAGACTACTAGTTAACTCTTCTTGAGTGGCAAGATTAGTGGCAGAGATTGCCAACCTCGACTACACTGAGCCGGCACGACACATTGACACAGCAACGAATCCCACATTTGCCCATCGGGTGGCATTCTGCCATGCTGGTGTGAGATACTTCGACTTTCGGTTGTTTGGTTCCCAGTCAAACCAAGCACGGTCATCTGCTGACCCAATGCCTTAAAATTCAAATGTATCTAATGTGAACTCCAAGCAAGCGAGGTTGAAAGCTCGGCAATCTGTGAGCTTCTCAAGGCAAGCAAGCATCTTCCAGCATGCCCTTCTACAAAGTGGCTCTACACTTTGGCATCTTTTGACCAGCAAAGGATCAATGATCGCACCGCTATTCTTTCGGTCGTTAAGGCAAAGTCGTGGCACAGAGCGCCCTTGGGCCTCTTGAGACGTCCTATGTATCTGACAAGGCCACCATCTGCAGCACTGCCTATGCTTGCAGCTTGGCAGCTTAGGCGCATCTTTAGCTCCGTAAGCGATTCGAATTTGCACTGCACATGCATGTCATTACAGAGTCCTGCAAGCAACAAAGCCTCACCTGCTGACATGCTGTTTGCCTTGTGGATAGAGGAAGCATCGGCCAACCTCCTGCCGATATTTCCTAGAAGCGGCGGCTCGCAGGCAATGGTAAAGTGAAAGAACTGGCACGGTTCATACAATACATGATATACATGATAACAAGCCCTCGAGCCTTTCCTGTGCTGAGCCTTTGACTGCCTTGAACCATCGTATAAACAGAAGGATAGAGGATAAAGACCCGCCATAGGCATAATACTCAGCAAAGGCCAAAGGGCTGGGCGTCCTAACCTCAGAGCTGGGTTGTCAGGCACCGGTCCTGGCCGTTGCAAGCGTGCGCTGCCTCAACACTGGTGGCAACCTGAATGGTGGCAACACTGCATCCAAGATTCGTGTGTCGGATGCTGTTCAGTGAAAACTGCAGCGTTGCCAGCCCCACCCCTTCGGATGCTTCTGCACAGCCCCCAAACAGCATGCCTGACAGTAGCCCTTGGCACACAGCAGTCGTATATGAATTGTACAAGGTTCCACATGGTCCTCTTAAACATCACCCCAGCAAAAGGAATCTCGCCACCAAAGGCAGGACGGGCTGTTGCTTTTTGATGCTACCCAGTTTGGGGCTAGTTTAAAGGAAACAAACGGGAAACCACCATTCTGGGGGGCGCGGGCTGCCCCAAAGAAAGGCAGCGCCGCGTTTTGCCAGCGAGCCTCACAGGCGAAGCGGCCTTGCGGAAGACACGCAACGGAGATGCGCGAGGTTCTGAGGCAACCCCAAAACAAAACACGGTCTCCGAATTTGGATGCCCTTTAAAACAGCCCCAAAAGAGTCTTCAAAAGACTAAACCCCCAGCAACACTATTCCAGGCAAACTTTCATCAAACTCTTCGTGTCTGCACATGGAATCTTAATTGAGGGCATTCAAACTCACACCCGCCTTTGTGTAGGCAGCTGATTGCCGCTGTATAACTGCCCCCTTCAGCTCCTCGAAAGTTACCTGCGGTATGTCTAAGTTTCTCAATCCTCCCGACATCCCATTCCCTAAGCAGCTCCTGTCGTTTTGTTTCTCCGGTGGGTCTCTCTATCACCATGACAACCAGCTTGCATGGCTCTCCCAGTGGCCTGCTGACTTCCAGAGGCGATCTGCCGCACGATGTCGCTCGCCTTCAGCTCGCCGAAGGGCCTCGGCCAGTGAGCTGTGGAGAAGCGGAGGACCCGGACTCTGAGGCAAAGTCCCGCCCGCGCTCTCTGGCTCGCCGCCAGCCTTGTCAGCACCACCTGAGGCCACTCCCTTTCAAGTGCGATCAAATTCTGATGCGTTTGTCCTCCTACTTTAAGAACCAACTATCTGTGAGCTGTCCGACAATTCAGTGGAATCAAAGCCATTGGCGACAAATTAAGCTTGTGGCTGGCATGGGTGCGTCTGGAATTCTCACCAAACACTGATGGCTTCCATTCAAGCAAGCAAATAGGGCAAAAAGCTAAAATTCAAAACCAAGGCAAACACCATATGAGCAGAGTTTTTTGGGGTACATGACAAGGGCAACTCCGCGGAAGCCTACGTGAGCCTACGCGAGCTGCATGTTTACACGTTTCAGCCTACTCCGAGGCAGTTCCTACGCAAAAAAGCCTACGCGGCCCACGCGGACTGCGCAGGCACGCTATTCCAGGCTCCGCGGCTCCGCGCGCTACAACTGAAGTCCTCTCAAAAACCACCGGGCAAACCGCCAAGTCCAGCCGAAAACCTCATGATCCACACGAGCAAAAGCCACGTCGGCGCCGAAACCCTGGGAATCGTTTCACGTCCCGTCCCTGGCCTTCTGCGCTCTCTGCCAGGGCCTTCTCCAGCTCTGCAGCGCCCAGCACCCCCCGGTGATCCTCACCAGCCTGTCAGTGAGCAACCTCCATATGGCATAAAAGGGAGCTCCCGGGGATTGAATCCAAGCTCAAAAAAAATGTCCCAAGTTGCCTAAAACTTGGGCAAAAGTCAAAACTGTCCCATGGTTCGCTGAGCTGGCTTCAAAAGAACGCAAAATCCAAAGCTTCTTCCGGTAGCTCTCACACATACACGTACACATACCCATACACACACATACAACACATACACCCATTGCTCTACTTCCTTCCTTCCTTCCTTCCTTACTTCCTTCCTTACGTCCTTCCTTACGTCCTTCCTTACGTCCTTCCTTACGTCCTTCCTTACGTCCTTCCTTACTTTTCTTACTTACTTTCCATGCATACATACATTTACTACACTACACGACATTACATTCAACTACTTTACGCTGCATTACATTACACCACATTGCATTACATTGCCTAAAATACATTACATACATTACACACATGACATACGATACATACATACATTACATACACCACATTACGTTACATTCCACTACACTACACTACACTACATGTACGTGTACATACATGTACATGTACATGTACATTAAACTACAGTAGATTACACTAAAATACATTGCATACATTACATGCATTACATGCATTACATGCATTACATGCATGCATGCATACACTACAATACACTACACTACATTACATCACATTACGGTACATTACGATGCATTGCATGACATCAGATCGCATTGCATCTCATTCCATTACACTACACTACATTACATTACATTGCATTGCATTGCATTACATTACATACATACGTACATTACATTACATTACATTACAGTACTGTATTTGATTACATTAAATTACGTTACATTACATTACATACAGTACATACATTAAATACATTACATACATTACATGCATTACATGCATTACATACATTACATACATTACATACATTACATACATTACATACATTACATACATTACATACATTACATACATTACATACATTACATACATTACATACATACATACATTACATACATTACATACATTACATACATACATACATACATACATACATACATACATTACATTACATTACATTACATTACATTACATTACATTACATTACATTACATTACATACATACATACATACATACATTACATTACATTACATACATACATACATACACATACATACATACATACATACATACATACATACATACATACATACATACATACATACATACATACATACATACCATACCATACCATACCATACCATACCATACCATACCATACCATACCATACCATACCATACCATACCATACCATACCATACCATACTACACCATACCATACTATACCATACCATACCATACCATTCCATACTTACCAGAACTATACTGTGATACAACACAAAACTGCATTTTACTACATTGCGGTTCATTGCATTGCAACGCATTACATTATATTACATTGTACTACATTGCACTACATACATACACATCAATGCGTCCGTTGGTCCGTCCATACATCGCCACAGCCCATCCATCCCATCGGACCCTATCCAACCTCATCGAATCTATCCTCATCCCACCCATCCAATCAAATCGTGCCACATCACATTCAACCCAGTTCTATCGCCAGTTGCCCGCTTGTTGGAAGAAAGCAAACAAGCAGTGAGTACTGTAGCAAAGTGGGATGTTTCTTCTTTGTAAGACAATGATTTGGCGTGCGCATTTATGAAGGTGTGTCTTGGTCACCCACTGCAATGCATGTCTCTCCCCCAGTTTCTGATCGGAAAAGCTGAGATAGTGGCGGCGGTGAAAACTCGCCAGAGGGCATGGTCTAACAAGTCCTGTCACAAGATGAGCTCCAAACTGGAAACCCTCCGCATGCAAAAACATCGTCCTCGGCAAGCTCCGAGCAGTGAGAGATGAGCAGCCCGGAGCTGACCTTGACGCCTGTCCAAAGATACGCTTGAAAGCCACGGGCCATAAGTGTCTTTTGCGGGAAACCCCCTTCCGGTTTTGGAAGGGAAGTCAGAAGGAAAACCGGAGTGAGGGTCTCCTGTTTTGACACACCCGCAACTTGAAAGACCCCAAGTCATGTAGTAGTAGTCAGTCGTTGCTTTCGCCTTGGTCGTCGACGAAGGCCTTCAGGACCTTGTCGATGCCTTTGGCCTTGGCAAGCGGTTGCCTCCAGCAAGAGCCGGCGAATAGAAGTGCCACACATATTCTTGGAAACCATATGGAAACGATTGCTTGCTGGTATTTACAGGGGGAATCACCGTTCTAGGGTTTCTTGGGTGGTGCAGGTTTTCGTCCATCCACAGTATTACAGCACAAGTTGTAGTTAAGCGTGCTTCACATGAAAAATGGAGCCGGAATTCGCAGTAAGCGCGCGGCTGACATGCCAAGCTTGGCAAGCGCTTCGTTTGCTTTTTCCAGAGGCACGGTCGCGGCCACGTCCTATGCAACAATGGATCGTAAAGCTGAGCTGAAGGAGTTTCGCGCCTGAGCTCCCGGGGTGGCCTCACCTCGGCTTTTCGGCCGACTTGGCCAACAGCTCGTCGCTGAGCGCGCTGAGCGAGCCTTCGCTGAAGGTGTGCTGCAACGCCAAGGCAGCTCCAACCTCAGAGTTGCTCCCTTCATTCTGCTTGCGCTCGGAAGGTTTTCCACACATCCCCAATTCGGAAGCCGGTCAGAAAGGCCTCACTTGGGCTTCCGCAGCCGAGAAGGGGCTTGTGATCTGCTCGGAGATGGCCAAGCCGGCTGTGATCTGAACGGCTCTGACAACTCGTCATGAAAGGCGGCTAGTATTCGCTGGCTGTCGCTAGCATAAGCTGGCTGTCCCTTTCAACGAGAGACTCCCTCGTCCTGGTGTGGGGGGGAAGTAGTTGTGTTCCTCTAATAACATTCGCCCAGAAACAACGACTGCAAAGAAGGGAAGGAACCTGCCACGCCTCCTGCAATTTGGACTTGTGATGCGACTTCAGAAGGTTCCCCAAGGCCTGTACAGCTGCAGATCGAAAAACATTTGCCCTGGGTGCGTCTTCCTTGATCACAACAGCTGCAATCAACCATGCTATCATATTGAGCATGGGGAGCCTCAAGCTTCGAATCTTACAACCCTCGCGGATTATTTTCTGCTTAACACATCTCATCAGCGTGGAAAAAAGCTCGAAGTTGCTTCACACCCGAAACCCGGCACCCCGACCTCCATCGGCAGTGCTGCATTATGGGAGTCCTTGGACAACAAGCAAAACATCCTAAGCAACATCATGAATTTGACGCATCCATCGAATGTCCATCTACATTGAAGGCATCTTTGTTGCGCATTTCCAAACATGCGTTGCTTACCAAGGGCCTGGCATCCGCAGAGAGCCAAGAATGCCTCAGACATTCTGCAGCTGTCGGGCGCGCCTGGCAGACTCAAGGTAAACTGGTTTGATATGCCCGTGTATTGTCAGCTCCAGCAAGGCCTACCAGTTCCAGATTACAAATATGTGTTCGAGCCGTTGTCCGTGATATTCCCTCAAGACCGTGGGCCTTGACGTCCCAGGATAGCATCTGCGCGCAAAGCGAGGCAGAGGAGGCAGAAGGCAGCCTGGGCCAAGGTTCCTCTCCAAAGCACAAATTCCGTTGCAGTGCCCGCAGTGCTGCCTGCTTTCCCTGCCAATGCACCTACTGTTGACCCAGGATTAATAGACCCGTTTCATTCTTGGGGGGGTGTTCCCTCCAAAAGTGATGAATCCCCACGAACAGGGGACACCCCCCTATTAATCAACCAGGGTTTCTTCATCCGGGGTTAACATTGGTGAGATTCCAGGAGCCTGGGAGCTGCACATCCGCCAGTCGGGCTCTGGTGGCTCGTGTCGCGAGACCGACGGCACCCTGATGCGGCAGGGGTTGACGGGTCGTCTGGTCTCGTCTGAGGCTGTGGCAAGCGACCACCGGGATCACCGCTGAAGGGATGGTGCCCGGACAAGAGCATAAAAAAGAGACACCTCAGGAAAAGGCAAAAGGATTTGGGCAGTTTGAGGATTCCATGTGCACTCTGTCACACGATGAGTTGCAAAAACGGCTGCTCAGACTACCACCCGCAAGACCACACATCCAGCAAAGGGCTTGGACATTGTGACCAGTCCTGCAACTAAAAACTTTCAGGGTTACAGTTTTTTTCTCTTTGATTCAGGCCATCTTGCGCTGCCGAAATAAACGATTTTCCGTGTCCTCTTGACCAGTCCCGGGTCCACAGGCCTCGGTCAACACATACTGCAAGCGTGGCTCGGACTGTGGGTCATGTACAGTAGATGTCTGGGCTCCGTGTTCAACAAACGCACAGATTCGCAAATATACCGCTGTGTGCAAGCTCTCCTTCAATTGGAACCTTCTGAACTGCTACCCTTGCAATGAGAGGGGTCCCCCAGCTGCATTCCAAATGTTCTTCAAAGTGTAAGCTAAACAGTCAACCCGCTTTCCCGGCCTGTAGCACCGCATTCCCCTTCACATGTCTAACTTATGAACATCGCAGCGCCCTTCACACAATGTCTCTTCCAAGTGCCGGATGTATCATGGCGCGCTGCTCTTTGGCGCTTCGCCTTCGACATCAGGATCACCTCTGGGAATCCTCGACTTCAGCAGCGCTATGATTTCGACTTCAGTCGGCATGTCTGCGCCTCCGACACCTCGAGCTTCTGTCCAGAGTCCGTGAGGGAGCTGCTTGGAGGTGCCTGGTCAAAGAATGGGTCTCAGTCCGCCGGATTTGACGAGGACCTCGTGTGCCTTCGCTGATAGACCCAGACTTGCACCGCTTTCTTGTCAGTGAAACTCAGAAAGCATGCATCCCCCCGCACGTCGAAGTGCTCCAGTACATTCAGATCATCTGCGGGGAATCGTCGCGCAACCAACATTATGATGGCCCCAGGTTTCAGATCCAACGCCAGCTTGGAGACTTTGACAATCATCTCATTTGGCCATGTCACTCCATTCACAAACACCAGAGAGGCGCTAAGCCAGCGGAGGTCCCTTAAGAAATCCGAAGCCTCAAACATCTTCAAAGGGTGGCTGCTTGACCTGGCGCGCAGAACAATCCCCCTTTGCGTGTACGCGCGGGCTGCAATGTTGCCGGCTTCCCTGGCTTCCAGATCGATCTCATAGCCCGTGCATTTTCGAAACGGGAACAGCGCATGGGCCGTGAGAACCGCGTGGCCGCGCCCGGAACCTAGATCTACAAACTCCCGGAAGATGTCCACTGTTCGGTCAGCACGTCGGCATACCCGATCTAAGAGCTGTGCAAAGCTGAGGACATCCACGGATCCTTCAGTAAACTGACCTTGCTTCTTCCCAGTAGCATTTCTGTGCCCGGGCAAGATGTGCTCTAATTCGTCCACAAGGCTCGTCTCAAGCTCGCTCACTTCCACTGTAGAGTCTGCAGCGCTTCCCAATGCGAAGATGTGCGAAGCTGCGGAACTCATGGCTGAAAAGACTGCCCACTGGAAGGGCCTTCGAATTCCCCGCCAAATGTCCACCAAGGGGAAGCCCTGTATGGACGCCCAAACCCGCGTTTCAATGTCCAGCATGTACAAGATCTGGCTGGCCATGAGCGCCACGGGGTCGTTGTCGAAGTCGGGTCTGCCCGCGGGCCTCGGGCCCGGAGACGCTTCGATGACCGCCGTGCCGCCCCAGAGCTGCCGCAGCAGCTCGGTGCGGCCTTCACCGCTCGGCCGCAGGCAGCAGGTGCAGTACACGCTCTGCGCCTGGAAACGCTCCGCCAGGTCCCGGTAGCCTCGGACGCCCACGGCTGCGGTGACCACCTCGCGGATGAGATCACTGCTGACTTCCAGGAAGAAATCCTTTGCGGGATGAGCACACGCTTGCTCCCACACCTCAATCCGAGACGTCATGTAGTTGCGAGGCTTTAGGTTTCGCTTGTACCAATCGTTTGTGGACACCTTCCCAAATACTGTGATATTCAGCTGATGGTGGGCAGCATCCCATTCACAAAGCTCTTTGTCAAAGAGAGGCCGCAAGCCTAGTGAAAAGGACATGCTAGAATTTCCAACACTTCCATCCCATACCGTAGCTTCCGAAAAATCTGTCGTTGCAAATGCCTTCTCTCGCCATTGCTCTGACATGGGCAGCGGAAGTGGTAGTCCTGTCTGTTCGCCTTTATCCCGCCATGCCAGCTGTCCTGTGCCGGGACAAGCATCCGGACCAATTCGACATGGCCTTCCTTGCAGAGAAGCGGAGACCGCCTCCCCGACAGTGGCGCAGTCGGCCGCCAGAATCAGACGCACGCTGGCAACCTCCTGGTACCGCGTCTCTTCCAGCCATCTTGACATGTCCTCCTCCTGGGGCCGAGGGGGCGGCAGTGGCTCCATCAGCTGTGATCCATTCGCCACGACACTGACCCATCCTGCCTTTGGACCGGGCCCAAGCAGCTTTAGAAATTGGAGCCGGTCGCAACCTCTGACTGAAAGGATCTCACGCTCCTCCAAGGTTGCTCCCCCATAAGGGCACTTGCCTGTGCAGTGCGTTCACGGCTTTGAGATGGGTTTTCAAGTTACTAGATCAAAACTTGGCAAAGCATTTGACGAATTAAGACTATATGAAAGCAGTTTGAGGGACACCTGTAGCGATGCTGCCAGCAAAAGTCAACTGTCAAGAAGCTCAGGCTGGTGTCTCATCGTCATGATCGGATAGTTTTTTCCAAGAAATGCCCCATACACCCCTGTGCATTTGTGCGCCTTCACATACCGTTCCTGAACTTTTCGCGGGCAGCTACGTGATACAATCCAGCCGTGAAAACGTGCGCGAGCAGCACTCTTATTTGCCGGCGGATGCAATCCCAAATGCAGAAGTTTTTAGGATGCTGCTGGAAATCCGGCAATCTGGAAAAGAACACCTACAATTTCCATCTCAAAAAAAAGAGTTCCCCAAGCAATACTTCCACCGACTGCATGTCCACTCGGTCCTCCACAACTGCTCCAGTGGCCAGTCTCTGCAACAGAGCCTTGGCGCTCAGCTCCGGGCCTGGCCGCGACAGGTGCGTGCTTTTCGGTTGGAGGCCACCCCTTTTCCGGTGGTTTCAACGGGAAACCAAGTGGCAAACCAACATTTGTTGGGTCGTCCCCGAAAAAGAAAAACGACACTGCCACATATTGGATGGAAGCGGCCGCGGGAAGCGCGACCCGACTTTGCTCAATACATTCAACAGAGTGCGGAGTTTTCGAGCAGGGCCACATAGAAACAAAACAGTCAATGAAGCTCCAAGGGCACGACATGAAAAGACTCCGCAGGCTTCCAAACCATGAGAAGCCAAGAGTCGCGACTTCGCCCAGATTACCGGAAGAGCTTGCTATTCCTTGCAAAGGAACACACGCCATTCATCCCCAGCATCACCAAGCTGCAAAGTCCCAGCAGAGTGAACAAAGAACACGCACCTAGCACTAAGAAATGCGCCAAAAAAGAACCAACCCAATGAATTTGCAAGCGACCTGGCATTTACGAGAGAAGAACAAGAAAAAACTTCTCTGGGTCACGTCAAGCAAGCGCCCAAGCAATTGTTAGACAAGTCTAAGGATGCACAGGATGCTTTCTCCCTCCGCTGCACTAGCTGCAGAGCTTGCCCGCGTTACAGATGTGTACGTCAGTCACGCAGTGTCGGACCTCAAGCCTAAACCCTAAGAGCCCCGCAACACTCTTGCTCAAATATCAAAAAGGAGTTTTGCACATGGCACGAATGTAAAGCAACGTGAATCAGCCAAGATCAGGCTACCTCTTTTGGGCTCACGCTGAAAGGGGAGTGCCAAAATGGAGATGATCACAAACTTGTGGGGAACCCGCCTTCGCGCACCAGCAGGCCGCCAGAGCCTTTGCCGCCCACCACCTTCCAACGCCGCCGCATCCATCAGCTGGCGTCGCGCTTTACGCGATGCCGCAGGGGCCATGGCAAGGCTGCGGGTTGGTCTCGGGCAGAACCCCAAAGGGTGAGAGGTCCATAGGTGTCCATCGGTTTCCCTTCAAGCCATTCCAATAGAACTACTTTTGAAAACACACCGGGAAAAATGGCACTCTGTACCTCTTTCCCACCTGCCATGCGAAACAGACGCAACTTGCGCTTCGTGTGCGTGCACTTCGAGATTCGAAGCGGACGTTGTGAAAGCCTCGTCTCCTCCCAGTGGCAAATCAGGAAATGATCTCAGGCAAAAAGTTCTTGATTGATAGGGCTGATGGCTTTCATCCTGTCAGTAAGCTTTTGGTCACACCTTGCATGAGCTTCGGGGCCATGCATGTCTCTTGTCCAGTCACGTTCCCTGAGAAATTTATATATACAAACACATTCATTCTTTTCATGGGCAAACGACCCAGCGCAGCTGCAACAAGGCGACAGTTATGACGCATTTTTCGGCACTCTGACACTTGGCCCCTGGAGGCAGGCCATGAGTCCCCGGCTTTTCCCTCGCGAGGCGCAGACGGCAGCCCAGCCAGGCCTTGAGATGAGTTGAGCCAGCGTGACACGCGGATGGGTGGCGCAAGGTAAATTAGCTTGGATACTACAATTGCTTTCCGACAACAGGAAAAGCTCTGGAGTCTGGAGCCACAAAAGCCCGTAACAACCCCACAACAAGATGCATGATCAAAGCGCGCACCCCAGAGTGGTTGACTGCCTGCAACAGCCAACCCGACTGCCCTTTCCACACATGAAGGATCTCCATCGAAATCTGGCAAACCCAAGATATCGAATTGCTGACGAACCAGCGAGCTCTCCAACGTGTCAAGCCCAACCAACCCAATCAACCCTCCACCCGACCACGCCGACGCTAGCCCCACCATCCATACGCTAGCCCCACCATCCGGTTTGAGGCTGCTGCCTAAATCTGCCAATACCAACTGCGGGGCGGCTTTGGCATCTGTCATGGCGGAGAGAAGAAGGCTCGTCAGCCGCAGATCTCCGTGGACAAGGCCTCAGAACCCATGAAACGAGGAGAACAACTGGCCTTATGTATAGCTTGGCTGAACCTAGGATTCAAATCGTTCCTACCATCCCCATTCTAGTTGGCAAGATATAAGACTAGAAGATGTTCCAAGTGTTGACCGAGTTGTCGGCAGGGAGATTCACTCAACAAGACTATCTTGTTGGGCGAGCTCGAGCCTTCAATCTCTGAGCAGGGCACTTCGTGGTCGCAGCTCGTGGCAATGCCTGGAATCGCGCATCATCTATGTGACCCACGGACAAAATTGTTCCCCAAGCAACATTGACAAATTGAGCTCTCTCTCTCACTCTCTCTATCTCTCCTCTGGTTTTTGTGAGCAATTGGATTGTTGCCACCATGTTCCCTAAACCCATTGTCAGTTTCTCATGTGATTAGTGAAGGATCCCACACCCTTTCCCACACCCTTTCCGCATGCCTGAAGGCTTCAAGAAGCTGTCGCGCAATCACTGCCTTGCTTCCACTGATAAGTGGCTGTGGATCAAAAATGGGTCCCCAAAATAGAAGCCTGGTAAATGGAACCAAGGACTCAAATCTGCGGTCCCCTGGTGGTTTAATTTTGACCCACACCCAAGTTAGCAAAACTTGACTAGCGCTGACTACTGGGGCTCGAGCCAACCAGCCAACGCTGAGCCCTTGTCCAGTCTGATGCCACTGCTGCCTGCCAACGGCAAAGAGGCTCTTCCCTTGAAAGATGCACATAGCATGATCTATGAAACCAATTTGGCCAATTCAATCGACGGCGAATTCCAACAGGCCAGGGTCGCAACACGTTCACCAGCTCCACACTCTCCACCGGCTCCAGCCTTGGAATTGCCCGCATTGCACATTTGTCTTGTGCTTCAAGTCTGACAAGGCCTACCGACCTTGACGCCTGGGTGCGATGCACGATGTAGATATTGTTGAAGTCTTCAAAGCTAGCGATCACCTCCACAGCGGGACAGCAACATGAGCACAATGCAATCTGACATCAACTTGCGGAGTGTCTTCAAAGCAGAAGGGCACATCACACAACACGCTGACTGATGCACTTTGGTGAGAGAATGGGACTGGATGGCCGTCCAAACACCGACGTGTCGCGGATGGTGCGCCTGTGGTAGAGTCGGATGCTCCAGACTTCTCAAAATCTCCACCTGTGAAATGGGCGCCTCTGCACTGCACCATGCCTTTTGCCCCGCAGCCTCTGCCCGAACCACATCCGAGGGAGCGGGAACCTTGTCTTTGCAGACCTGTGCACAATCTGAGCCACTGTCGCTTGTGCCCGATTGCCCTCGACTTCCTTCATTTTGTACCAACACAAAAGACTCTTGGCCGGCTTTCAGGGTTTACTGCTTCGCCAATTCATTCAACCTGTGCCTCCTAGTGTGATCACAGCATAAGCCCAATGCCGACAGCGCATCAAGGCCTGCCGACAGATATGCTCCTCTCGCGTAAGACGGCTTCTGCACCTGTCAGGATCACATCACTAGCACTCATTGGAAGTAGTTGGCAAAAATGACTGAGCCGTGAAAGTATGACAGTGAACAGCGCAGCAGCGCAGCTGGAGCCTGTAGCTCTTTCCCATCATGCCACGAGAGTGAAACTCAAAGCTTCCATAGAGCTCTTTCAGCCTCTTCCTAGGCGCATGGAAGGTCTATACCGAGAATCTCCATAAGCGCGGGTTTTTTCAGGGCACCCTTTTTTGGTGGTGTTAAAGGGAAACCAAATGGAAAACGCACCCGGTGTAGAGGGGTCCGATTCCTATGAAACGACCCACCCAAGCTTTACACGAGAAACTCCATAAAGCTGCGCCGTCCCTTGAACTTGGGGAGGCGCGAGCCGCAGTGCACCGTCCGCAGGTTCCGCAAGAAGGCCTTTTCAGGCCAATTGCCAAACAAGGTGTTTGGTCTGTTTTGTGGCTTCAAAGTTCGGAAGCAGGCTCTGCGCCTGTGGTGCATACCGATCCCGCCTTGGGCGTGGGCTGCTTAAATTGCTCAAATCACCACCCAGTCCCAAAGGCCTCTCTCTGTCGTTCCTCCCATGTCTTGAGATGCCAGCTGCACCAGCATAAGTTCGCGGCAAGAAGCGCAGAGCGACCCCAACAAGTTCAGACAGCTCTGCTGCACCCAGCACCTGGGACGTCCGAACAGAAGGGGATTGCACCGAGACACCTGGCGCCAGCCAAAGCAAGCCAAAGAGGAAACAGCATTCTCAGCTTGATGACGAGTATCCCAAAAAAAAACGACTGAGCTTGAAAATGCTGTTGAAGGGCAACACTTTCCACAGGCTAACAAACAAGTCAGCTTGTATCGGGACTGTCGAGCATTGCCAGTAGGCTTCGCGGAGTGGCTTCGCGGAGTGGCTTCGCGGACTTGTAGCCAACTGCTTTTAGCTAGCCTTTGTGAAGTGGCGTCGCCTGTGTCAAACCGCGCGGCTCCCGCGAGAGGCTTCATGAGCCTTCGTGGCATGTCGCACAACTGTCGCGGACTTTTTGGGAACTTCCAATGCTAAAAACAGCACTGTCGGAACTTCTGACGCTCAGTTGGGTGTGGGTCAAAATACTTAGAATGGAACCCTGGTAAATGGAAACAAAGACTAAAACCTGCGGTTGCCTGATGGTTTAATTTTTACCCATACGAACAGGTGCGGGGCACAGCCAAATTCTCACGCAGTCAAGGCGTGGCACATCTCCGGGGCCGTACAGGCTGTGCCTTGCTAGCAGGGCTCGCCACCAGCCTGACATCGGGGCGGGAGAAAGGGGGGGCATGGCAATGCAAAGTCTTGCAAGGAGACTGCCATGTTGTCCCGTAGTGTAAATGAGTCAAAGGCTTTCGCACTGATTTAGCCCTACCAACCTTCATCTACCCAGATTTTGACTGTGGAGAGGAAAGCATGACAAGAAGACTCAATTTGGCTACATCCAAGATTCAATTGCATCAAACCGGTGGGCCGCCTCTGCAACTGGGCACCTCCTCCCCGTCCTCCTGGGAATGTAATGCGCTGAGAGGGCATTACAAATCCGCAAAAACCTGCCTGGTAGGCAGTATGTACCTCAGCTGCAACTAAAACGATGTGGCCGGAATCAGAAGCATGCCGAAGCTTTCAATCGTGCCTGCTCCCAAATGGCGCACATGCTGAGACAAACAACTTCTTTGAACTCGAGCCAGCAGTGTAACAACACTGCTATCCCCTTGGCGCCCAAAATGAGCTGTACAGTAGAATGACCAGGGAGCACAAAAGCAATGGGGCCTGCTCCGTGAATGACCACGCAAGCCGCCCTCACTGTGGCTCTATCATGCAGCAAAGATAGCCTTGGCTTTGGCATAGAGAGCCTTGCCCTGAGATGTCTTCCCATTGACTGCGCAGAAGCCCTTGATGCCGAGCTCCTTTCTGGCCTTCGTCACAGCCTCAGTCCATGCTGAGATGTTCTTGAAGGCCTTCTTGCCTGCGGCGTTCTGCTTTTTGGTGACTACGCGGCCTCGCTTATTCTTCATCAAATCGGTCTTCGTCAGCTGAGTCGCTGTCTTCTCCTTGCTGCCCTTGAACACCACCGCCTTGGCATTCCTGCCCTTTGCAATCTTGCTCACAGCCTTCTTCTTCATGACCTTTGCTTTCATTGCCGGCTTTGTGCCCTTCTTCATGGACTTCGTTGCCGACTTCATCACGGACTTCATGGCAGACTTCATTGGGAGAGCCATACTTTCGTCAGTGAGGCAAGGTCGCTTATGATGCTGAGAGCTGATAGCTGCGAGTTTGGTGCTCTTCATGTCAGCTGAAACCGTGCTTGACAACTTGTTTGAAAGACTATTGAAAGATCACTCAGCCTGTGGCAGCCTTGCGCGAGCATGTTGGCGAGGAGGCCACCCCGGCTCCAATCTGATTGGGGCAAGAAAGCACGTCTGCACAACGAACAAAGCGGTCGAGTTTCTGACCTATGGCATCATTGTTATATGCTGGCTGGTGTGACGTCCAACGAATGTCAACCAAAAATGCTGCAACCCAAACTGGTGATATGTGTCGCTGCACATTACGCTGAGAACGACGACAACGACACCGACGATCGCGATCAACCGCAACTAACGACAAATGATCACGACGACCATTACAACCATCATCACAAAAAGCAACGCCCAGGATGACGCCAATGAACACCACAACAACCATCATGATGATAAGCACAACCATGACCACAACCAGCACCAGCACCAGCACCAGCACCAGCAGCAGCAGCAGCAGCAGCAGCAGCACCACCACCACCACCACCACTACCACCTCTTCCACCACCACCACGAAAAAACGCCACCAAATGATGACGATGACAACCTTGACAGCGGTGGCAATGGCAACGTTGACAACATTGACGGACGTTGACCACGACGACGAGCACAACGACAACGACGACGACAACAAGACATGCTACCTTGAGAAACCTACTGGGGACAGCATGATTTGGGGTTGCAAAATGATTCAGAGGGATTCTGAGTAGACTGGGCTGCATGTTAGGTTTCACACTGTTTCGAAATACCATGCGGTGTTGATTGCAAACACCGGTTTAGCCATAGAGTGCCTCGAGCAAAGTGGTGATGGGATTTAGGTTCACCAACTCCTGCGGTGTTCTCAAGCGAGCAAAAGCAATACTGTCATTCCCAACATCGTTGGATGTCACCCGTACTGCAGTTTGACCATCAGGTCAATTCAAGAAGCATTGACCTTTGCACAGGGGGCAGCCTGACTAGCACAGTCAAGAAGATAAACGGACAGATCCTTGAATAAAATCCTTTCATCATGCCCTCCGCTTGCAGGGCTCCTCCCAACGCACAGAGCTGCCAGCTTGCCTTGGCAACAAGCTGTCGACATCTATCGGCGCGCCATTTTAGGTGCCGTACAGCCTGGTCAGCAGCTGCTGGCATGTTGCCTGCAAAGCGAGGTCGTGCTCGGTCAGTGCTTGGTGGGAAGGGCAAGGCAAATCCTGACAGTAATATGCAGCTTTGGGCAGTTGGCATGGTTGTCGTTTGGGCGCCTCACAATCCAATGCACGCCCGCCCAGATCAAACCATCAAAGACCCCAAGATAAAGCTTCAAAGGCCATGGTCCAAACGTAAGTGGCTAAGTGGCTTGTAGCCTCGCCTCCAGACCACCTGGCTCGCTGAGCATGTCTCTGAATGCGATGAAGCGAGGATCCTGCCACAGCAAAATCATGGTGAAGTGCAATCCTGCCCCCCCCACGCAATTAGACTGCAAGCAAACTCATATCCTTCAATGATTTTTGGATACCCTGCACTTCAAAAGTCCAGGATTTCTTTGATCCATCTCCAGGACAACTCCCGGTCGGGACTTGAGCAAGGCAATGACCGCAGTGCGCACCATAGCTTCGCCTTGACTGCGCAGCCCGCGACCCGTAATAATCTGGAGCACTGCTCCATCAACTTCAGCAAAGCCATGCAGGATTGTCCCGTTGATTCCATGTTCTTCTTGATGTTGTAGCTTGTCGAGCACCCACTCAACCGCAAGCTCGGCAACCGCAACTGGCATTTCGTGCAAATCCAGAATAGGAAGCACCGAAGCGTCTTGCCACCTGAGTGATCTCAAGGGCAATTCACTGCTCGAATACACGTCTTGGGCCACATGCCGTGCACCACCAGCGCATAGCGCCACCAGCACCGCCATGTTGTCTACGATGTTCGGCGACCTGATCTGGGAATGGACTTGCAAGGCTTGCTGCCACATGGCAACCTTTTCGAAAACACTGATGAGCGCGCTCGAGGTGTTGATGCTGTCATGCGCCTCAGGGTTCTTCAACTACACCACATACACCTTGCCTCTTTCGCACAACCAATCAACAAATCCCCGTAAACGCAGCACTGGGGGGCGCATCCAACATCCTAGGACCTGGCCATAAGCATGAAACATGCTGGCCCGGTCTTTTCAAAGATTGCCTGCCATGGAGTCCCCTCATGCAAAAGCTGGGCCGAGGAGGAGAAAAGAGCCAAGGCGTGTCTCCACAGCTCGAAGCGATCGTGCGAAGCTGCCAGACCATTCTTGCAGGCACCGATAGCGGCACTGTAGCGATACACCGTAGGTATCTTGCTTGGCACATCAAACAAGATCCGAAGGGCATGCTGCCACTCACTTGCCATGCCACAGCAGTCAGCAACGGACAAGTAGTGCTGCCAGGAGGTTGTGCACCCAAGGGCCGATTGCAAATCAAAAAGGGCCCAGCAAGCATGTTGCCAGCCAGATGCAGCCCCATAAGCTTTCAAGAGGTTCGCCATACTGGCACTATCTGGCTGGAGCCCCTTTTCCAGCACTTGCTGAAATATTCCCACAGATCTCCGCCATTCCGAGCCTGCGGCACATGCTCCCATCACCGAGTTGTAGGTGATGAGGTTGCCGACCTCGCCTTCGCCCAGTCGCAGGAAGTGGATGGCCTCCTCCCATCGATGGGAGCGCTCGCAGGCCCCGATGGCTGTGGTGAAGACCACTGCGTTGGGCTGTAGCCGCTGCGCGTGCAGGCGCCGCAGTAAAGTTCCAAGGTCACCTGCACCGCTCGCTGACGTCGCTGACCGGTGAGAGACCTGGATGGCTGCGTTGTAGGTGAAAATGTCCCATTGGAGCTGGCGATCGTGCAGGCTGCGGAGCAGGGTAGAAGCTTGTTGCCAGGCATGGCAACGGGAACATGCCGTTGCTGCCAGATTTAGGGTTCGCGTGTTCGGCTGCAGCCTTCGATTGCACAAGTCCTCAAGCAATTGTAAGATATGTGGCCATCCAGAAAGGCCAGCCAACGCATGTGGGATAGTTTCTGCCTCCCTTGCAAACTCTATGCCAATGGCCTCCATCACCATATGGTAGCTTCTTCGATCTGGGTCAGGCAGATTGAAGGAGGCTGGCAATCTGCGCTCTGCTTGCCGCAGCATGGCCAGGGCATCTGATGATCGTTGACCCAGCTGATACGCTCTCAGCACGGCGTTCAGCATATCGTTATCGATTCGCACACGTGGCGCCAGCGCCCAAAAAATGCTCAAAGCCTCAGACCAAAGTGTCCGTGTCACCAACGTTGATACAGCTACATGGGCATAGCGAGGTAGAAGCGGCAAACCGGGGCAATCCGGTAAAGGTAGCTTGGATGAGGACTTTGATACCGTAGGTATTGACCTCTTCAGAGTTGCCTGCATGCATTGGGCAGTCCACTGACGAGAAAGATTCTTCGCAAGACCAAGCTGAGATCCTTTCCTGCAGGCGTCCACCACTGCAGAAAGTGAGATTGCATCAGGAACAATACCACGGCTCGGAAGTTGTACAAAGAGACTCACAGCCACTTGCCACTGGTGCTGCCCAGCGCAGGCGCCCATGACTGCGTTGTAGGAAACAAGATCTGGGGCGGGTCCACGCGTCACAAGCGCCCCAAGCAACACCATCTCTGCCAGAATATGCACTGCCTGTTGCCAAAGGTTCATGCGCTCACATGCCGACAAGGCCATGTTGTTGGCCAGATTTCCGTGCACCTTTCCTGCAGGAAAAGGCAACCCCTTCCGACTCTCCAATTGACTCTGGATCGCGTGGCAAGTCTTAGTCTCAGGTGATCTGCCACCTTTGAGGCATTCGGAAGAAAAGTACTTCCTCAGCACCAGCTGCAGCGGTCTTGGAGCTGCAGCTGCGAGTCGATGAATGACCGCCATGCTTGAAGGCTCCCATTTGCAGGAAGCATGGCCAAACCATACTCACGTCGACAGGCATAAAGGCAGCTGTGCAGCAAATTGAGCCTTCCCTGAACAGGATACAAAAGTGTCAATGAAAGTCTCACATGGAAGGGCAACTCATGTGGCGTATCAGCATTCCTTGCTGCAAGGCCAACATGACAGGCTAACCATCTCTGCCGCTGCAGTTGAAGGCGACTCTGCCGGCTGCGCCTGGCTGCACACCAGGTCAGCACATGCAAGGCAGAACAGCTCCCGGTGCTAAATGGCCAAACGGTTCACATGCTGCATGCCGCTAGAAATATGGGCGGCTGCAGCAAATCTGCCGAGGCACTCTGCTCGGAGCCGAGGGTATCCTCACAGAGCAATCCCGCCCTCTCAGGGAAAGGGCCCTGATTTGCTTTGGCTGGAGTGGAGGAGTGCGAATGCCAAGTTGTAATCGGGCGCGGATTTATTTTGGATTTTTTCTCGATTTGTTTGTTGTTTTGTAAATTATTTTTTTGTTTTTCGTCCGGGCCAGTAAAATATCGTATTTAACAGCATTTTCTCGCGAAATTGACGCATTTTACACTAGCCCGTCAACATCCCCAGCATCATTTTAAACATCCCCCGCATGTCCGATCAACATCCCTAGCATCACCAACAAATCGTGGGTAACAAAATCGAAAAAGTAGCTGGCGGGGTGACGGGGGTCAAACAAATGATGATTCAAATAGGAGGGCATTTCAGTCCCTGTAATTAAAAAGAAAGTAGCGGGGGGGTTGGGGGGGGGGGGGAAACTGCAGCCCCCCCATGATGTTCGCAGAAGTGATGATTCGAACAGGGGTGCATTCAATCTCTGCAAAAAGTCTAAAAAGTAGCGGGGTGTTGGGGGGGCGGCAGCGCCCCCCATGATGTTCGAAGAATTGATGATTCAACTAGGGGTGCAATTAAATCTCTGTAGAAAATCTAAAACGTAGGGGGGGGTTGGGGGGGGCGGCAGCCCCCCCCATGATGTCGGAAGAAGTGATGATTCAAGTAGGGGTGCAATGATTCAAGAAAGGGTGCGATAGAATTTAAAAGGCAGGGGGAGGTTGGCGGGGGTGGCTTCCCCTATGATGTTCGAAGAAGTGCATACATACAGACATACATGGATTGCACAGATTACCTAAAAAGTCGTATTTTGCAGCATTTTCTCGCGAAATTGGACGCTCAAAAAAGTAATGCGTGCAATTCAATCTCCGCAAGAAATCTAAAAAGTAGCGGAGGGGTTGGGGGGGGGCGGCAGCCCCCCCCATGATGTTTGAAGAAGTGTTGATTCAAATAGGGGTGCAATTACTCTGCAAGCAATCTAAACGGTAGCGGGTGGGTTTGGGGGGAGGGCTTCCCCCCCATGATGTTCGAAGAAGTGATGATTCAATCAGGGAGGAACTGGTGATGCTGATGATGCGGGAAGCCAAATCCAAAAGCCAAAGAAAGGGTGCAAAAGCCAAAAAGCCCAGAGAGGCACTGCACTGTGAAAGCAGAGGATGCAAAAGCCAAAGCCCCCAAAAGCTGCATAAACCAGCGAAAAGCCGCAAATGCCAAAACGAAGAGGAACTGGGAATGCAGAGGATGCGAAAAGCCAAACCAACAAAAGCCCAGAAGCCGAGAAGCCAAAAAAAAATCCAAGAAGCCGAAAAGCCAAAAAGCCAAGAAGCCAAAAGCGGGGGAAAAAAAAAGAGCTAAAATACCCCTCCGTTGTAATCTCCCGACGACACCTACCTGTCAGGCAAGCAAAAAGACCTAAACAAAGACACGAAGGATAAGCAAAATCGCAAAGGCGTCGACAAACGCACAGCTAAAGGAACCAAAAGGGAGAACGAGAGAAGCAGATGAGACAAATGAATTTGACAGACGCTAACCATCAAATTGGATAGTTCTGCCATTGTTTGATCGACTTTCAGGCAAACATGCCTCTTCATTCTTGAGATTGTCCTTCTAGGCAGCTGCCCCGCTGCTGTTGGTAGGTGCCTCATTCGCAGTTCAATCTGCAAAAAACCTGCTCCCGCCAATAATTCCTGTCCCAGAGCAGTGAGATGTCTGAGGCTGCTAGCGAATCGCAAATGGGCTCTTGACTCGGACAGCCTGAGCTTCCAAAAAGCCAGGACCGCACAGTCGCGGAGCCCTCTCGCCCCTTCCAACTCAACGCCAGGGCACCCTTCACCGCGCGTCCCGGAGGAACCACCGATGGAGCAGTCCTCATGGACGTCAGCCAAAACGGCGCCAGACTCTGCCAAGCTCCCGTCCTCACCCCTCCAGCGGCCGAGCTCGAACGAACAGCACCTGTGAGTTGCGCGCAGGTCGGAACAATGCAGCGAGCCACTCAATGGGTCTGCCCTGCAACGCAGCGCGAACTCCCATGCCACTTCTGAGTCCTGCGCCCTTTCGAACCGGCATGCGCCACGTGGTGCGCGCACCTTGCCTGCCGCAAATTTCAACCACGTCAGCCGCTCGGCTCTGTCCGTCGATGCCGTGCCTCTGGGCAGACGCCCGAAGTCCTGGAGGTGCGAATTGGATGCAGCTCCACGCAACATTCAACCAAGCGGAACATATCATCGTATCCCTTTTTGTTTAGGTGCCCTGTTTGGGGTGGCTTTAAAACACAACCAAAAGGGAAAGTTGTTGTTGTTGGTTGTTTTCTGGGGGGAGGGTCCCCTGAAAAAAGACGCACCCGGACGGCTTTCTGACGCCCAAAGAGATTGCCAAGAAGCTGTGCCTTCGAGGACTCTCCCTGGGGTTGCAACCCCAGCTGGCCTCAGACTCCAAGAATCGAGAAGATTGGGCACTGCGATTGTCTGAACTCCTTCTATGAAGGGATGGTCTTTGGTGCTTTCTTTGCATAGAACACCTCTCTCCTTTGCCTAAGCTGGAGCCTTGGGAAGTTCATATGGCAACATGGAAACAGTGGACTTCTCAGAAAGATCTACCTTGTGCCTTGCGCGCCCTTGTGCGCGCCCGCTTCTATCACAGCAAAAAGAACAAAAGGGTGTGCCACAGTGCCACATTCTGCACTGGTCCACCTCAGCTGCCCGCGCACAAGCTCCAACTTGACCTCGCGGAGTCACCACCTAAGGTGCACATCTTAGCTCGGCTATGAAATGCTCTGATTGCAGGTGGACACTTCTGCACAATGATAAAGTTATGCGTCACGTTGGTGACTTTTAGCTTGAGATATAGAGGCAAGTGTGAAGAGTGAGAGCAAATGTCCATTAAGACTTCAACGCAGCACCATGTTAAGAACCTGCACGGTTCCTCTCTCCAATCAGAACACTTTGTCCAACTCTACCTTGTGAAGTTGTTGCGCTTTGAGTTCAGTCATTTGCAGTAGAGGCTGCAACCAAATAAACACAACTGTGTGCGTGTGTGTGTGTGTGTGTTGATAGCATAGCAGGGGTTGGGAGGGTTAGGCAGTTGAGGGTTTGAGTGGTTTGAGTGGTTTGAGTGGTTTGAGTGGTTGGAGTGGTTGGAGTGGTTGGAGTAGTTGGAGTGGTTGGAGTGGTTGGAGTGGTTGAGTAGCAGGCAAGCAGGTCGGTCGGTGGGTTGGTTGGTCGGTCGGTGGGCTGGGTGATGCGGGTGAAAGGGCACGCCGTGTCTATGCGTGCATGTGTGTGTCTATGCGTGCATGTGTGTGTGTGTGAGGTATCGACCTCCAACCAAGTGGTTAAAATGTGCTTCAAGACAAACATACAAGCAAAAAGCGCGGGTGAGCTTGCATCATCTGTTGAGCCTGCATTCGGCCCGTCCCTTGATCTGGCATGCACTCTGAGACCAGGGCTTGGCGTATTACGGTTCTTGGTGCTGACGGTGCGCGTGGGGTGGCCTGCTTTACGACCACCTCAGCCACCACCAAAGTGGCAGCCCGCAACCAACATCCGCCAAAGTTCTCGGCCGGACGGGGAGAAAGACATCTGGAGGCTTGCGGTTCGGAAGGCGCCAAAGGCTCAGCAGGCACCTTCAAGCCAAAAGGAGGCGCAAATCGCACCACAGCTGAGGCCGGTACTCCAGGCACGGCTTGAAGTGCAGTGTGCGGCATAGCTCGAGGCACAGCTTGAAACACCGGCACCTGTCGTCCATTTGCCCACTCCATTTCATGGCGCAACGCATCAACTGGGCCAACAGCCGGCGGCAAGCTCGGAGGTGACAATGAGCGCTCACGGACAAGCGTCACTCTCCCTGACAGTTCCAGGCAACAGCTCAGAACGTCCGCTTGATGAATGGCCTGTCATAGGTGGAGGAGGACTGCTCTGCAATCGATTTGGAGGTGGCTGCCGTGGGGACATCTGAGCAGGAGCTGCCCAAACTGCTGCTGGCCTCGCGACACAGCTGTAGAATAGCTGTCGAATACTCCCCTTAGAACCCTCTCATTGGAGAACGCGTTGCATCAGTGCCTGCTTGGCGACAAAGCTCTGGGCTGGAACACGAACCCCGGAGACATTTGCCCCTGACGCACACCCCGGGTTCAGATTCGCTTCCAACAAAGCGTTTGCAATAGTAGACAGCATGACCTAAAGAACGGGTCTGAGTAGACTCCATGAAGCAGAGTCTTGAATGTCGCAACCAGCCTGCAAGGCTTGCGGAGAAGGTATCGGCTGCGACACTACGGCAGGTGGCACCTGAGATCCGAAGCGACCAAAGATCTCAAAAATATGCGATCTCAAAAATATGCTGTTTGCTGCCAAGCGTACACCCGGTGACAAAGCACGCTGTGCCACAGATGGATGCGCCAAAGGCCTGGCACTCGAAAGCTCTTGCGAGAGACGGGTAACAAGAAACTTTGATCCCATGCTTCATAATGCTGCTTTGTGCTTGTAGAACCGAACGAGACCATTCTGATTCTGCAAGTAATCAAGGCCTCGGTTAAAGTCTTGCCTCGCCTGCCCGGCGATAGTTCTCTCACCTCGGCAGCTTCAAGCTCCCCCCCTCCCCTCCCCTCTCTCTCCGTGTCTCTCTTTCTCTCTTTCTCTCCTGGTTTCCTTGGTTTTCCCTGATTCGTTGATTCTGTGTTTCTTTGTTTCATTGTTCCTTTGTTTCTTTGCTTCTTTGTGTCTTGTGCCCTTGTGTCTTTGTGTCTTTCTTGTGCTGTTTATTTTTCTCTTTGGCTGGTTGTTTGTTTCTTTGTTTGCTTTGTTAGGTGCGTGTAAAAGCGCGTCGTGTCAGCAATTTACAAACCAGTCAAGTGACCTGATTGGTCGCTCAAGGCATCCAGCACTCCCAATCATTGATCCAAGTGACAACCACCACCTGCGGCGTGGCCACCTGTCTGCTCTCTCCTTCTCCCCTCTCTCTCTCTCTCTCTCTCTCTCTCTTTTCCAGTGCCGAAAGGTCTACGTCGCCAGATTGCTCTGCGCCTGCGGCGCTTGAGCGGGAGACGCTGCAACCTGGGTGCCAGGGACCTCAGAGTCAGACGCAAGTTCGCATAGCAAAGTGAGCATCATGAACTTTGCGAAAGCCTCAGTTCTTGGCGGCAGCACGGGGTGTGCAGGGCCTCGCAACATGACTTCCACCGTGTCTTTTTTATCGCGTTCCTCTCAAGTCTCAGCTTGATGCCAGGCTCCTCCTGAGAATTGCCTCATGTTTATGGCAAACTGCGGCATCCATGTGGCAGGCCGCACTGGTGCAACTCACAGCAACCCTTGAAGTGATTGAAAAGAAGCAAACCCCGCAATCAATCGACCTGGGCAAATCGTGTGTCCAGAGAAAGCCAAAGTTCTCATCAAGCTGCGGATATGGAGATGCTGTCGGAGTTCTCACAGGTTGCCAACTTTGGGCACAGGGCAGGCTGCCTGGCAATCCCAGAAGCAGCTCAATGCCGGTGGGCTCCATTTGACAAATCCTGCCTCCACTTCTTCCAAAAGCCCATGCCTATGCGGATCGCTTTTCTTGCATGACCCAACAAAAGAAGTGCACGGAGCCTGCGGCAAAGGATGCGAGCCTCCTGCGGCAAAGGATGCGAACCATGAGATATTTAGCTCGAGCTCTCCTCGACTCGTAGGCTCTTGAGGCACGCAAGGAATCACCACGCTGCCAACCCTCGCGGAGCCACAGGGCTCTCAAAATGCTGCAAGCCAAGGACAGAACGGGTTGGACCCTTCTCGATCTTCTGGTAATATCGAGCAACGGCAGGCCCAAAGATGTTTACCACAGCACAGCTACAAGCCAAGGGAACCTATGCTTGATCTTCACCGAGTTGGGGTTCAAGACTGTTGTCGCGGGGGGGGGGGGGGGGGGGAAAACTGTAAGACGGAAGTCGGCACTAGCTTCACACCTCTGGGCAATCCCACAGAACACAAAGCTGGCTAGCATCATGGAAGGCTGCAAGGTGTCCTCCTTTCACACGTGGCCCTTCTGGCAGCAACACCATTCCTGCCTCACGGATCCACGTGATGATGCACGCGCGGTTGATGGTATGCTAGAAGCCTGCAGGCACAGGCAGCAAAGCGAACAGCGCCACAAGTGCCCAGCCTGCGTGCTGATTACGCTGCCGGCCACGGCCGCTTGGCCCGCGGCCGTTGGGAGTGGGATCGCTGCTGGGATGGTGGCCGATGCAACGACTGGGACTTTGGCCGTAGGGCCTGTCTGTGCAGAACCAGTCACCAGCGCACTTGGCACTGTGGAAGGCTCTCTGCTTTCGCTGGGCACGTCCTGGCTTTACAAGGGAAAGGCCGGGGCTGCAGTCGGCTGTTGCCACTTTATAGGCACTAAATAAAGGGCATATTTGTCGGCTTGGGTGTAGTGGTCAACTAATGAACCGGCATACAGCATGAATATGGTGTTCAGTCAGCTGCCAATCCCACGTGAAAGATTCACACGAAATCACCCCCATGCAGCATACCACGGCCTTGGCCGCATTTGCGGCTTCATGCCTTGCACATGCAGCATCCACAGTCTTCAGGGCAGCACAGCCACACTGGGCATCCGGCGTCTGAGCGCCTTCTGGTTCCATCCCAGCACTCTGACATGAGGCAAGCGTCCAAACAGGATGCCGTGCCCTGAAATTGTAAATGTGCAAGGCAGACGTCACATTTCTAGGTGCTTACATTAGGTGCTTACATTTATCTTCGATGGCTTGGAGTCCTAAGACTGGACTGCTAAACCAGATCGCAGCAGAGGTCATCGGTTGGCTCTAAGTCTCGCAACGCGACATTCCGCACAGTCTCGCACCGACCACGAGCTGATTTCTTCCCCGAGCGCGCTGCATCACAGCCGTTCCTAAAGCCGGCCGTCGCGCGAAACCCCGCAGCCGGAGGTGTGCAGCGGCTTAACCGAGGACACCCAATCAGAATCTCGTGATCCTGGACGCATTCACCAAAAGATCCAGTGGACAGCTCCATGCCGGCATGCTCTGAAACAGCTTGGGCTCCATGCTTATGCCATTGCAGCAACCTAAGCAAGAAGCATAACGTTGGGGTTGTCTGCAAAGCTAAGTGCAACAGCAGCACTGATTCCGCTGCTTTCATCAGGCGTTTTCGCTCCAGCGGCTTCAATCCCAAAGCCTGGGTGATTCGAATGTCAAGTTCAGTACGCCACGCCAACGCCAGCTGAGCAAGCAACGTCTGCAAAGTCTTCGGTGTTCTCCACAATGTCCTACAGTCGCGCTGTGGTTGCCTGGCTCTCTCTTGATACTCATCAAGCCCCACAGGGTGCATGGCTCCCAACATGGAATGATGACGGATGCTCAAAAAATCGGTCTCCCCCAACTTGTCCTCAATAGTGGCAGCACCTTGTTCGTCGCACCTCGCGGGAGTGCAGAGCTGAGTTCCGGAAGCTCCGACTCCGGAGCGATTTGTTGGGCGGAGACCGCGACATAGCTTTCAGCTGTTGGGGAACATGCGACTTCTGGACACCTTTGCAAGCGCGGGAAACACACATTTTGGCTTCAAAAAAAGAAGCGAACCAAAAAGGTCCAGGGGTTGGCTTCTTGTTCTGCTAGACCCGCGCTTCGCTGACATCAACCTGCCCGCATGGCATCCCACACATCGGCTTGCCCAGGTAGAATGTTACATTGGCTATCCGTTCTGTTGGTCGGTAGTGTCATTTTGAGACACCTTGGGCGTTGGCTGCAGGAAATTTTGGATAGCACTGGGCCCCAGCATTGACTTTGGCTTTCTGACGCTGTTGTTCAAGAAAGTGCAGGGGTGTCAGTCAGCTTGCTCAACATCCCCAACATCAATGATTATTCTAGATGCATGCAGCAGGTAGTAGTTGGAGAATTGTCCCGTGCACTGAGTTACAATGTGGCAAAAGTAATAATAAAGAACAATAATAATAATAAGAATAACAATAACAATGACAAGAATAATAAACAATGATACTAGTAACATAACAATAATAATAACAAAGCAATGACCATGGCAATAATAGTACCAACAATAGTACTATTAATAAACACAGCGATATTAGATATGGTAATCATAATAGCAACAATAAAGAAGGATGATAACAACAATAATAGTAATAGGCATAACAAAAATAACAATACTAAAAATGATGACAATAAGGAAACATACATAATGAGTAATAACAATAGCAATGACTATATTGATGATAATGGTAATAGACAAGAAAAACAGAGAAGAGCGCTAGAGGTTGCCGCAACATTCTCCACGCGTCTTATGCCTTTCTATTTTTGAGGCGGAATTCCTTGTTGTTTCACGGAATATGTCGTGTCACCGGGGTGTTTTCACGTTCTTGCTTTGTTGTTTGTAGGATCCAACAGCTACAATCTTGGCTTGTGATTGCTCTTCTTCTTCTTCGGCGGCTGGCGAGGCAAGCTTCATGCAATTGAGGTTGAAACAATCTGGCAGAAATTGCCGCAGATGTCATCCCGCAGCCGCAGGCAAAACGGGGTAAAGCCTATCCGTTGCCCCACAAGACCAAAACAAACATGGGCAACACAAAACAATAATAATCAGCTTGTTGATAGATGTCCCCTATTGTTTGCTCAGAACGTTTGGTCACAAAGCTCGGTCTACACATGCACCCATCTTGCAGGTCCTCTGCAAAGGTTTAACACCTCATTTCGTTTGACACATCCCCATATTTGCCATCTCGCAAGGCCGCGGAACAATCCCGACTCAACCAATGTCAACTCAAAGTGCTCCCCTGAGCGCAGCTCCAGTCCAAAGCTACCTGCCAATGGCCAGCCACCAACCGATCGCTTTGAAGCCAGCTTTCCCGCCTGCAAGTACTTTGAGAGGCGGGCACCTTCCAGGAACTTCTCCAGGTCACGCTCCAAGACTTCCTTCATACCGCTACAGTAGGTCTCAGAAGCACCAAGATCTCAAGACGCAGACCTCTTCGACGGAAGCACCTTCCGTGTTGAGGCCGTAAAATTCGGCGATTGCCTGCCGAGACTCTTGGATGCGAATGACGCTCGAAAATGGCTCCCTAGCAACCTGGCCTTGACCAATCGCTCAGCGCCCCAATACTGGTTTTCTTCAACTCCCGGAACATCCTTATGCAATCAGTCAGCCATTCAAGATGCTCAACTCATGCAAAAGCATCTCACTCAGCTACTCTCAGAGCACGCAATCATTCATTGGCAAACATCGGGAATGTCTTCTTAAACATGTATACATCCAGCAAGGGCGTAGAAGATTCCCTGAATCTGCCATCAACGCAAGGACTTCTCTCAAACAAGGCACTGCGCGAAGGCGAATTTGCGCAATATCCTCATACTTGTTGCTGTACTTCTCCAGCGTCTCAGCATATTCTTGTTTGGCCTGGGGGATGTCCAAGGCAAAGAGCCAAAGATCTTTTTGAACAGGGCTCCTTACATTATACACCTGATCATTGCCTTTGTAGATGGTGGTGTCCCTTTATTTTGGTGGAAAAGAACCATGATTCAAATGGGCAAATGCATCTTTTAAGGAGCCCTGTTGAAGTCGCCCTCTCCTCGCCATCGTCAATGTCGCCATCCCAGCCATTGGCAATACACCAGACCGGCGGCCTACCGAAAATCACATCGACGCGATCCGATGCGATCCGATGCGATCCGAGGCCTCACTCTCTCGAAGGGAATGAACAGGCCGCCGCCAGGCTTTGGCCGCATCTGCGTCTTGCTCCTTCCGAGCTCAGGCTGTCCGGAAAGGCAACAGGCAGAAGTTTCAGAAGGGCAGTCCAGGCAAACTCAGCCCCCACATCGATCCACACCACCAATCCGGTCTTCATGATCTCCACCTCGCAATGTCACTTGAGATGGGACCTGCAGCTCTTTTTGAATGCCTGCAACTCTTTTTGAACGCAACTTAAAGAAAGAGAGCCTTACAGTCTCAGCTGCTTTGCTCATGCGACAGAAACAATTGCCGCATTTCATCAGGCTGCGCTTGGTCCAATATATTAGAAGTGGAATGTCGTGGAACAAACATCGATGCAAACCACCTTCATGAGCTGCCTCCCAAAGAAGCCGTGGATTTGGGAGTGACACAGCTTGCCCAGGCCCTCACATTCTCGGGAACATCTACGGCACTCTCGCCCACCACAATGCCAGCTGGAACGTCCTTGTTCTCCTTAGTCGCTTCCAAGGTTGGCTATCTTGGCTCAATAGCTGCTTTGTTTCTGACACGAGGAGTGACGGATTGTTCAAAGGTTGCTGTCAAGAAATGATACCTCTGGAACAAGCTGGTCGCAAACCATAGGCCAAACAGCTTAGGCCCGGGCAAGCGCTTGAAACTCTTTCAGGACTGTGGTCTCAATCTCCCGATATTCCTGGCACGGGGCTGACAGTCAGCACAAAATATCTCATTCCTTTCCCGCCAACTGTTTCGGCAAATGCCCACGCTGCATGGATACCCCACTGTCCCCCCCGCCTTCGGATCCTCAATGTAGAGGTCCACCGCCGACTTCGGCGCTTTCGCCGCCAACTGAGGGCAAGAGAGAAACAGAGACATGCAAAAGAAGCCTTCGAAGAATGAGCGAGGAACCTCGTTATCGGAGTTGACGAGATAATACACCAGCTTCGGATACTCCTGGCCAGGCCTCCGCTTCCGTTCCGCAAAGCGTGGTTTCACCGAACCAAAATAGGGCCCTTGGGCCAACGCTTGCGCCGGAGAAAGAGAGTGCCATCAGGAGCTGGGGTATACCTGAATGCAGGTACCAACAAAGCCAACGAAACAGCCAATTATGCAAATATGTGTATGTATATATATATATTTGTATATATAAATATCCGAGGGGGGTGTAAGCATATTAATATATACAGTAGCGCAGGAATGGCTTCTCGAAGGGCACGCCAGCCCGTCCATCAAGGCTTCTGCTATGAGGTTGCCTTCCAAGTTCGAAGCACTGCGTTGTCACAAGTTCAGAATCACAGTAGCCAACATGCAAAAGCGCCACTGTCTGCGCCTGTGTTGCCGTTAGTCCCAATGAAGTAGATCTTCTTGGGAATCTGATTGCAAAGAATGATTTACGTGGCATAAAGACATGTCAGTATGCAAACCTTTGGATCAATTGAACTTTTTCCAGGTCACAAACTGGGTGCCAGACCCACACAAACGATTCCACCAATAATTGTCAAAGGAGATGCTAGCATGTTTACATGATGTTCTAGTGACCAGCAATCAACCCCCCACCTTGTGAGCCAGGATTGTCTTCAGGACTGTTAGCTCACGCAAACCACTGGTACAGGTGCGAAGGAGTGTGGCAATCCTGAGTTTTTAAGGATGGTTCACCCCAAGTCCATAGCATGTCATTGATGCATTCTAGCAAAAAAGCATTCTCTCGTTGCCAGTCTGCAACAAGGACCCCATCAATGACAGTGTCCGAGCGCACTTCAGACCATGTCTGACCTAAACGAGTCAGGGGGCTCATCACAAATTGGACAGTACTCAAGTAAAGTCAATCTGGCCCAGGTCTTGCGGATCAAATAACGGGAACAGCTTACAGGCCGTTAGAAGCAGGAGAACACAATGGCAAAACTATGACATGGCAAGTAGCACAGCTTCAGCACCCTATAGCCTCCTCCTTCTTCAGCATCTGTTGCCAAAGCTGTCTCCCAG